ACCACCTCTCCACCTGCTGCAGCTCGCAGAGGTGGTGGAGTCTATCCTCGACGAATGACGTCGAGGATAGCGGCAATCTGATTGGCGAGGAAGGAGCGGAGCTGAGAGCGAGCGGCCTGTACTGATGCAGTTTTATATGTTTTCTCCAGACAAATAAAAATGAGAAACCACGGATTCTTCCTGCGGACGTTCGTCTGTGACATCTGAGAAGATCTCGGCACAAAGCCGAGGATCTCACATTCCATCAGCTCCTCTTCCTGCGGAGCAGCGGCTGAAGGACGGAGCAGAGAGGCTGTAATGGAAGCAAAGCCATAAGAGGATTAAATAAGGAGAGACAGGAAGAGACATTTAAGTAAATGCACGGTTGAGAGCATAAATCTGAATGAGAGAATGCATTACGCAGAGAGGACGCACTGATGGCCGAGCGCCAGGAGAGCGAGGGATGAAGAGCGGCAAACCGCCGGGAGGAGTTTGACACCGGAGAGCCGTAATGGAGGAGATGGAGGGAGCACTTGCCAAGATATCGATTTATAAATTACCTGTAGTTTTGTGGCTCCGAGGGGGGGAGGGGGGTAGAGCAGCAGTTAGTGGTCCAATAATTCAATAATGTGTGAGCCGACAAGCAGGAAGGAGGGCGGGATGAACGCCTCCCAAATAAAAGCATCCGAGTTGAGCGTGCGTGTTATTTTAATAAATTACATTATACAATACATTTTAGTTTTTTATTGTTTATCGTTGATGTCATTAACTGTAAGGTGGGTCTAAATGTGGCGCTCCATCATCTACGTACAGTCTGTGGGTTCCACAGCTGTTGAGAATAAACATGAATGTAGTTCTTTAGGCTTTTATTGTGAAAAGCAGCGTTTGTGTTGTGCCACTGTAAACGTTGTGCGTGTTGAACTTTGCTGTCACTGATTTATCGGCCTCTTGCTGTCGCCGGTGATGGCGACACCGCCGTCCCCGCTGCGGCGGTCTCGCTCAGTGTTTGATTACATTTGCCGGGACGACAATTTGGAATCTGTTTGGGTTCGACTTCCTGTTTGTGTCCGAAGCTGCTCCGAGGGTCTGTCGTCTGTTGTCACTTCAGCGACTCTTCTTCTTCTTTGTGTTTGTTCTGAGCTGAATGGTGTCAAACGTATTTGTTGGCCTTAAAGCGTGAAAGTGAGAATCTGCAGGAAATGAGTGATGGCGGCAGATTTGTGCGTCTCCAGATTTTTCCAGTGAAATTGCTCCTGTGAGCTGGGATCCTGCTGTTCTTTAGTACAAGCTGTTGATTCTAACATGCAGACTTTCTCTGACGCTGTAAAAACTTTCACTGATGAGAGACACACTCACAGACTGCAGCACGTTCACGCGTTTGTTCCCATCGTCTTCCGTCTTTACCAGGAATTCTGTGGAAAAATCTGTTTGGTGCCCCGATGATGGATCCGTGTTACATTACAGAGCTGCAGCTTTGTGTTAGAAACCGAGAAAAGTGTGAACATAACAGGAACATGACTCACCACCCTGGCATGAAAACAAAAGTGCGCCACCTGCTGTCCGCCACGCGTCACTACACGTGTTATAAAATGTTGTGAGTCTGTGGTCCTGCATGACTTCCACCCCTCTCCTAACGACCGTCCGTCTGTGTTTCCAGGTGTCCACATTCTGATCGCGGTCGGCGCGGTGATGATGGTGGTCGGCTTCCTCGGCTGTTACGGCGCCATCCAGGAGTCGCAGTGCCTGCTGGGAACTGTGAGTCGCACTGAAGCTTCCCTGTGGACGTTCACACCTGCTAATAGTTTTAATATTTCTTTGTGTGAGACGGTGCACGAATAATGACGTGAAAAGATGCCTCGCACCAGGTTTAGCTCCCGACTCGTTTCCATCTGCAGGCCCACGAAATAAACTGTAAGATATCAGGATGCTCAAGCATCCAGGCAAATCCCAAACAGTTGGATCTGTTCATCTGGACATATTCAGAGAAAAAACGCTGCGTCCTGATGAACAGAATCAACATTTTGGGAAACTGTAAGATCCAAAAACATAAGCAAGAGAAACGTAAACCCACCCCCCCCACATCCCCACTGAAAACCCACCCCAGTATGTCGTCAGTGCTGAGCTGACCTGAGGTGGACTCACACCTGAAACCGCAGAGGGCGCTCGCACCCTCACGGCCGCACACAGATCTGTTAATTTATTAATTTTAATTAATTTCATTAACGAAAAAATTGAGGGCAATTTAAGATTCATTAAACAAAAGTATTCTGAGCACGGTCGTAGGGCTGGTAGATGCTGGCAACAAGACTCAGGAAACAATCCTGTAATATGGTCCAAAGGTTGAGATCCAATCAAAGCCTGATTACTAAACCAAACCAAATCGCTTTGCCAATTTCTTTCAGTCATTATATAAAAATTCTGATACATGCGAGGATGACAGTACACTGTCTGATCTCTTAGGAAAGATCATTTTAAAAACACTGCTGGAATCAGCAGCAAAAGAGATGAACCGATTCAGGAACATTACAGATACGGTTAAAGTTAATATTGGGGATGGATACAGGAGAAAATATCTCACGAACATTCAAGTCAAAGTGGTTTTAAATGGCCAAACGAAGTATTTATGAATTCAAATCCTTCACTTATTCTCAGACTTGTTTAAAGTATATAAAAACAGATTCAGAGCGATGGACAGTCCTGCCTCCGTCTCTCTGCGTCGCATCGAGAGTATAAAACGAATGTATTACTGAGACTTTTAGACCTTTTTCAGATGCTCCCTATAAACATTCCCAACTGTACATTTGATAAATTAGATTTTGATATGGCGAGGCAAACGTCCAAGGATCAAGTTTTAAACATTAAAACTAAACTGCAGGGGGGTCGGCTGTTCTATGAGACTCCTGCCTGTGCGGGATCGGTCTGAAACTCAGTGGCTAAACATCAAGAAGACGATATGTGAAAGATCATTGGCTCCCTGCTTTTTTCTAACTTAAACATGTGCATACGGGGGAACGGACGAGGTCACACTAAAGATTTGGCGCAGAATCAAACAAACATTTCGTTTTCCAAAATGTTATCAAGCCTCTCCTCCCTGCAGGGTTTTCTTCTTCAGAGCAGGTCAAATAACAGGCTTCATAAACGTCGTCATGTTGTGAGCACCGGAGCTCATTTGAACAGCTGAGACGTCGGCTTCAGCTTCCTTCTTCAGACTGTTTTAGATTTTTGCAGCTAAGAAGTTTTTTGACAAAACATAAAGACTGGAGGCAAGTTTGGAGCCTCAGCCATCGAGGAAATATCTCTAAAATATTTCAAAGTAATTCCTCCCCAAAACTGATCAGTCATTTCTATAACGCATTTATGAGTTTCAATACAAGTGCAACTTTGGATATTAAGGCGAGGTGGGAAGCTGAGACTGGCACTCAGGTCTCAGAGGACACCTGGGGAGAGGTGAAGCTCACCTGGTGACTAATTCTGGGCTGTGGAGAGAATTTAAAGGGAAGGTGGTCATGAGATATTTTAGACCCCTGGACATCGTTGCTAAAATGAACCAACTCCCGACACTCGCTGGTGAAATTGTGGCCCTCACTTAGGAACCCACTTACACATCCTGGTCGTGTCCAAACATTAGCTCAGTTTGGAATAAAGCTCACTACAGTTTCCCAGCAACCGTTAACAAAGGACCAGCAGTTAGTGAGTCTCACCAACAGCAAAACAAAGTCTCTCTTAAGACTTGCTTACAGCAGCACTAAAGTGTATCACCATTAAATCATCACCTTCATGTAATATGTGGATTGATAAAGTAAGATTGATCAGATGGAGGAAAAACATCTGCTCTGTGGATGCAGAGGATCGTTCAGCCCACACGTGCTGTTAATCCAGCAGAGGTTCACTTTTTACTGCTGCTAACATCGTCACATCTTATTTAATATTATCTGAAGTTTTTTTTAACGTTGCCTGTGTTTGTTCAACTTGTGAACATTGACAAGTGTAAGTTGCAAGGTTGTAAATT